CATGCACTCACACCGAGTGAAAAGCTTTTCTTGTAACACCAGTCTTCACAATACTATAAACGCTTCCTTACCTGACGATAGAAAATGCCAACTTGGGTAAAGTTGTCCTCATCAGCACTGTTGTAGCGATCAACATCAGCAGAAACAGAAAATTTAGGAGCAGTGTGTTTCCTGCAGTCCTGTGGGCCACTAAAGCTGTTGGGGAAGTAGTTAGGAGCACTTTCCTGAAATAGAAAAATAAAAATATATAATAATAATCAAATGATTATATATTCATGACTGTTAATATTTCATCTTTCAGCAATAAAGAAAAAGCAACAATGCGCAATGAAAGAACCACATTCGTATATTTATTACAACAGAATCATATGCTTCTGCCCTTATTTTCTGAAGCATCAAGTACATTTCTGTTATTTACTGAAGTCTTACACTTTTCTGTTTCTAAAACTCACCTGATTGCCATCAACACACATGGGGCCATCTCTCTGGTAGTTCTTTGTACGGGCACGGTACGGGCAGTTCACGGGGATCTGGGTGTAGTTGGCACCCAGACGGTGACGGTGAGTGTCGTTGTAAGAAAAGAGGCGACCTTGCAACATTTTGTCAGGGGAAGCCTCAATACCCGGCACCATGTTGGCAGGAGAGAACGCAATCTGCTCCACCTGGTTTGTTAAAAAGAGAATACTTATAAAGATGAACCTCAACACCTTGCATTCTGAGTTTTGTGATCCTCTTTCCTACTAAAGCAGATATTTTTATATTACAGGCAAAATTATGGTAATTTCCTCAACCTTGCCATATTTCTATAAATGCTCTGTACTTACAATATCAGACCATACACTACTCATACTCAAGAATACTGTTACATACATCAAATAATCCCAGTCATATTTCATCTCATACTCAAAAAAAAAAAAATGATTCTCCGATATCAAAGAAAAATTGTTGTTACCTCAGCAAAGTAATTCTTTGGATTGCGGTCAAAAGTAAGACGGCCTACTGGGATGAGTGGGAATTCCCCATGAGGCCATACTTTGGTAAGGTCGAATGGATTAAACTTCCACTTCTCTGCTTCTTCGAATGTCATCACCTGAGAAATGAAAAAATTTGAAGAAAATTAAAACCAGTACCAAATAAATAAACTAAAAAACATACACAGGCACCTTAAAGTCTGATCTCTTAAAAAATTGAGGTTAAAAGTACCTGAATATACATAGTGTATGAGGGGTAATCGCCACTTGAAATCGCATTGTATAGGTCCCTTGTTGCATAATCTGGGTCAGAACCTGCCAGTTCATCAGCCTTCTTGCTGCTAAGACACCTAAAGAAAAAGTGGAAAAAGCCATAAATAATCTTAAATACAATTATAAATTAATAAAAAATAATTCAGAAGTCATTTCAAAGGAAATACTTATATCCTCAGTGACTGGCATGTTTTATGACAAAGAACATTTTAATGGTAGGGTCCCCTAAACATCAAAGTGCAAAAAAAAAAAGCAAAAAAAAACATCACAATAGCCAAACTGAATAACATCACAGGATCTTACTTGATGCCTTGGTCCGTCTTGTAATGGAACTTGCAGTAGACGGCCTCTCCCTTTTCATTGACAAGCTTGAAAGTATGAGAACCATAGCCATTCATGTGACGATAGCCATCAGGGGTTCCTCTGTCAGAGAAGAGGAATGACACTTGGTGTGTTGTTTCTGGTCGCAAACTAATGAAGTCCCAAAACATGTCACAATCCTGAAAGATACAGAAGAAAATAACTAATGTTTCTGATAACACTTCTCACTTAAAGAACAACAAACTAAATGAATGAGACAGTGGGCACTGGCATTTTTCTTTCATTCCCATTTTTCATTCTTGAATCTGAAAAAAATATATATATAAGCAATTAAAAATTTGCTGAAAATTTTGACCTTTGGGAAGAAAATGAAGATCATTCCAAATTGTTGGGCTTTCTTATATGAAAAGGATATGGGAAAAATTAAAAGTGTTTTCCTTTATAGGGGGTTTGATAATAATTAAACATTAATAATCTCCAAGATCTTGTAAGGGAGACCTATTGAAAAAAAGATGAGAAAAACAGAGAGTTTCAAATCCAGCTGCATTTCCTTTTATTTCCTCAAAGCATAAAATGAAGAAAAATAAAAATGTAAAACCTGGTAACTACTTAACATATCCTCAAATTTTCAAACACATGCCAACATGCACACACATACATGCATGCACACACATGTGGTAATTTCTAAATATTTCCTCAAACTTTCAAACACACACATAAAAACACACACACAGAACACACACAAACACACACACACACACACACACACACACACACACACACACACACACACACACACACACACACACACTCACACTCACACTCACACTCACACTCACACTCACACTCACACTCACACTCACACTCACACTCACACACACACACACACACACACACACACACACACACACACACACACTCACACACACTCACACTCACACTCACACTCACACTCACACTCACACTCACACACACCACACACTCACACTCACACTCACACACACACACACACACACACACACACACACACTCACACTCACACTCACACTCACACTCACACTCACACTCACACTCACACTCACACTCACACTTACACTTACACTTACACTTACACTTACACTTACACTTACACTCACACTCACACTCACACACACATACACACACACACAGTACCTTTAGATGAGTTGCAGGATTCCTCTTCTGCGTGTGAATGAAGGATGGGAACAGAATAGGATCCCTGATGAAGAAAATGGGAGTGTTGTTCCCCACAAGATCCCAATTTCCTTCTTCTGTGTAAAACTTCACGGCAAAGCCTCGAGGATCCCTGAACAAAAGTTTTGAAATTAATCATGTGTATTCATAATACAAAGAAACAAATTGTTTTCCATCGACAATACATACTGCTGACACTCTTTATCCACAGGCTTCATGTATGTGGATTATACTAACCAAAATATTAGGCAATAAAAGATATAACATTCCAAAATGTTCTACAAGGTAAACATTTAATCTGTCAAACATCAAACATACCAAGGAAAATACCATTTAATTATAAACAAACCCAGTCATTCAACATATGTAAGCAAAAGAAATATATACATAATTCAGTAAAAATTGTTACGAGACAAGAAGCAAAACATAAATTTCCTATTCTGATATAAAATCTTTACATTCAATTTCAGGTAGCAATGAATCATTATGGGTAGTGACAAAACTAAATTCATGTATTAATACTGTAAATTTTACCTCTGATTAATAGGATATTCCTTTTTTTATAAAAACAAACAAGAGTAGAAACAATATGTGCCTGAAATAAAGCTTTGTGAAACATTTGGAAACTCTGTGCAAATGGTTATTCATATTTGAAATCTTCCTTAAGTCTTTCTGATAATATATATATTTTTTTACATATCAATTAATTTTTGGGTTTTCACTTGAAGAAAGAAATAGCTATGGTGAAATGTGTTCTGCTGCATCATTTTAAGGCCACAGGCACACCATTATCATTTTTTTCTTGCTATTAAATGTATTGTCTTGTATTCACAATATCAACAGCAGAGAAATTTAATATCTATGTTCATGGACCATTACAAGTTCATTTGGGGCTTGGCCTAAGCTTCTACAATTCAGACATACATGCAGTGTAATTTCTAAGTACATTTCTCAGGAAAACTACGTCTTACACATTAACAAAGATGGTAATGAATCCAAAGATGATTTTAAGTATACAAAGGATGGGCATAGCTTATAAGCAAATACTAAGTTATATATTCTAGTAATGAACATTAAACCTGGAATTCTAGAGAAACAGTATGTACAAAGTTGAATGTGACAAAAATAATAAAGGTTTGAATGAAAATGTAAGTGGCATTTCAATATTTTTTTCCACAGAACAACACTTAGTGTAATTCTGACAAAGATGAAATTCTAAAATGTTAATTACAAATTCATTCCCATTCAAAATTTCCACTGCATATATCTTACCTGGCAGTGTCAGCTGATCCACTCTCACCTCCTACAGTGGAGTAACGAACAGCAATAGGAGTTCGTTTCCCAATCTCACTGAACAAAGCAGCCTTACAATACTTGGATATATCATGTGTTACCTCAAAGTAACCAAAGGCACCTGTAAATATATTGAATTTCATTAGTAACAATCTGCATGTTTCATACCACCTGATACCACTCACACAGCCTGAATTCTCTAGCCTTTGTATCATCTCTCTATATATCATCATAATTATATTGATACTAATATTGATAACAGGACTAATAAACACTACTTATAATACCAATTCTAATACACGATCAGGGCAACAATAAAAATTATGATAATGATAAAGATAACAATAATAATAACAATAACGATAAAGATAAAGTTGACAGTGATAATGATCATAATAGTAATATGACAATACCAACAAAAAAGTTATAAGAATTAAACAACTAGTACCTGCTCCCTTAGCATGCACAACCCTCTCTGGGATGCGCTCACGGTCGAAGTGAGCCATCTCATCAAGGAGCTGAATGTCCTGCAGGAGGATGGGGCCCCTTGGACCTACAGTCAGGGAATTAAGCTTGTCCGCAAGTGGGCACCCATGGCTCGTGGTCAGGTTATCGGGAGCCTGCAGAAAACAAGCATGATGAATTAGAGACATTGTGGAATGGCATACTGTAAATAGCACTTGGGCACAAAAGATCCTTTCCTCCTCATCTTAGCACAAACAAATTTATGTATTGGCATAAGGGTATATAAGTACATATGGGGTAAATTCTCTACAATATGGCAGATATAGTCTAGCTTGATACCTCTTTTCCTCAACTGTAATAATTCTAAATGCCAAAAATCCTTTCATTACCCACACTAAGACCACCTTCTGTTACAATAACTTGTAATGGCAGCATTGACAACCTCACAATGCCAACACCAATTCACTAGGAAAGGATAGGGTGGATAGGATAGGATAGGATAGGATAGGATAGGATAGGATAGGATGGGACTGAGTTAGATGGGATAGGATGGCGTAGGATAGGATGGGACTGAGTTGGATGGGATAGGATGGAATAGGATAGGATGGAATGCAATGGGATAGCATAGGACAGGATGGGATAGGATAGAACAGGATGGGATAGGATTGGATGGGATGATATTAGATAGGATAGGATGGGACAGGATGGGAATGAATAGTATGGGATGGGATGGATAGGATGGGACAAGACAAGACAAGACAAGACAAGACAAGACAAGACAAGACAAGACAAGACAAGACAAGACAAGACAAGACAAGACAAGACAAGACAAGACAAGACAAGACAAGACAAGACAAGACAAGACAAGACAAGACAAGACAAGACAAGACAAGACAAGACAAGACAAGACAAGACAAGACAAGACAAGACAAGACAAGACAAGACAAGACAAGACAAGACAAGACCAAGACAAGACAAGACAAGACAAGACAGACAAGACAAGACAAGACAAGACAAGACAAGACAAGACAAGACAAGACAAGACAAGACAAGACAAGACAAGACAAGACAAGAAGGGAAGGGATGGGTACAGATAGGTAAGGAAGGGTAGGGAAGGAAAGGAAACAATAGGGAAGGGAAGGGAAGGAATGGTATGAAATAGAAGGGAAGGGAATGGTTGAAATAGAAGGGAAAGGATGAGAGAGCAGAGCAGAGCAAGAGCAGAGCAGAGCAGAGCAGAGCAGAGCAGAGCAGAGCAGAGCAGAGCAGAGCAGAGCAGAGCAGAGCAGAGCAGAGCAGAGCAGAGCAGAGCAGAGCAGAGCAGAGCAGAGCAGAGCAGAGCAGAGCAGAGCAGAGCAGAGCAGAGCAGAGCCAGGCAGAGCAGAGCAGAGCAGAGCAGAGCAGAGCAGAGCAGAGCAGAGCAGAGCAGAGCAGAGCAGAGCAGAGCAGAGCAGAGCAGAGCAGAGCAGAGCAGAGCAGAGCAGAGCAGAGCAGAGCAGAGCAGAGCAGAGCAGAGCAGAGCAGAGCAGAGCAGAGCAGAGCAGAGCAGAGCAGAGCAGTGCAGTGCAGAGCAGTGCAGAGCAGTGAGAGCAGAGCAGAGCAGAGCAGAGCAGAGCAGAGCAGAGCAGAGCAGAGCAGAGCAGAGCA